CTTCGCGGCCCAGCCGCCCTGCTAACGCGGCCCCGCCGCCCTTCCTTCGCGGCCCCGCCGCTCTGCTCACGCGGCCCCGCCGCCCTCTGCTAAGCGGCCCCGCCGCCCTGCTACAGCGGCCCCGCCGCCCTTCCTTCGCGGCCCCGCCGCCCTGCACTTCGCGGCCCCACCGCTCTCTGCTAAGCGGCTCTGCCGCCCTTCCTTCGCGGCCCCACCGCCCTTCCTACGCGGCCCCGCCGCCCTTCCTTCACGGCCCCGCCGCCTTGCTTCAGCGGCCCCGCCGCCCTTCCTTCGCGGCCCCGCCGCCCTACTTAGCGGCCCTGCCGCTCTCCTCTCCTACTGCGCCACCCGAGCCGCCGCCCACTGCACCACCCTGCAGCGTGCACCCGAGCAGCCGACCGCCGCGCCGCCGAGTACCGGAGGAGCCGAGCCGCCCACCCGCTATGCAGCCGAGCCGCCCAGCAGCCGAGCCGCCGAGCCGCCCAACCGCCGAGCCGCCAAGCCGCCCTGCCGCCCTGCTATCGAGCCGTCGAGCCGCCTAGCCGCCGAGCCGCCCCGCAACCCAGCCGCCCTGCAGCCAAGCCGCCCTTCTGCCGAGATGCCCGTCGTGCCCTGTCTGGTTAGCACGCCCCACTGCTACTGCGTGCCTTGCCCCCACTGCTTGCACTGCTAGTCTGTCGTCATGGCTACCCCTAGTGTCCTCGCTTTTGACGCTGAGGGTCGAGCCATTGACTTTGAGGTCTGGGTCGAAGACCTGCAGCTGTTTTTACAGTGCGATAGGGTGGACGGTCTTTCTCTCTTTGACCTCACCTCTGGCGCCTCTCCTGCTCCTGCTGCTGATGCTGACCCCACTGTTCGCTCTCAGTGGGCCACCCGCGATGCTGCTGCACGTCTTGCTGTGCGTCGCCACCTCCCTACCACTGAGCGCGCGCACCTTAGTCAGTACAGGAGTACTCAGACCCTGTACGACGCTGTAGTTGCGCGCTACTCTTCCCCTGCCACTACTGCACTGAGCCGCCTCATGCTACCGTACCTCTTTCCTGATCTTACTGCCTTTCCCACTGTCGCTGACCTCATTATGCACCTCCGCACTAGTGACACTCGCTACCGCGCCGCCCTTCCTGCTGAGAACTGCGCCAAGAACCCCCCCCCACGTACATCGCTCTCTATTACATACTCACTCGCCTCCCTGACTCCCTTCGCGTAGTCAGGGACCACTTCCTCTCAACCTGTCCCACCACTCTCACTGTTGACCTCCTCGAGAAGGCCCTCCTAGCGACGGAAAAGAGCATAGTTGTTGTAGGAGCCTCTCGTGGAGACCCGCGCACCCCCATCTTTGAGGGGTGTTCTCCTTCCCCCCTGCTGCCCTCTGTTGCCTCTGCTGCTGCTGCCGACCTGCTTGGTCTTGAGTCGGTCGGCGCGGCGTCTGCCCCTAGCGGGAGACGCCGCCCTGGCAAGGGCAAGGGGGGCAAGGGCGCGGGTGGAGCTAGCGGGGGCGGTGGAGGTGGCGGTGGAGGCGGCGGGGGGAGTGGGGGTGGCGGTGGGAGTGGTGGCGGGGGTGGTGGTGGTGGTGGCGGCAGCGGAGGCGGAGGCGGTGGTGGCGGCGGCGGTGGGAGCGGAGGCGGCGGTGGTGGCGGAGGTGGAGGCGGCGGTGGTGGAGGAGGTGGAGCTGGTCGAGGTAGTGCCCCACAGCCGAGCGGCTCTGGTGGTAGTCAGCGCCAGCAGCAGCAGCAGCAGCAGCGTTCTCGGGACATCCCCCCGCCTCAGCAGCTCCGTGAGTGGTACACGCAGCGTCAGCGTGGTGGGGGTTTTGGCCCGTGCACATACGTTCTTCGTTCCGGCGACCGCGCGGGTGAGCAGTGTGGGGGTGCCCGCTCCACCCAACGCTGCTTTGGCCGCCTGTCGGACGCTTGGCGTCAGCAGTTTCCCGAGGCTAGTGAGATTCCCCGCTGGGTGAGCTGTCTAGGGCTGGCGTAGCGATCTTTGATCTTGACTTTGATGCTATCCTTGCTGCCATGTATGCTGTGACTATTAGTGATGAGGGTGACTGTTACCGGTGTTTCCCGCCCGACCCGGGCATTGGTACTGCTGCGCTAGGTGCTTGTGAGGTTGTTGCTCTAGGTGCTAGCGCGTTTGCGCTTTCAGGTACTGGTGAGGCTGCGCTCTCAGGTAATGCGTCGGCTTCGGCCTCCCTCACCTTCACACTTGACTCAGGGGCTTCTCGCTCCTTCTTTAGGGACCGCACCACACTCACGCCGCTTGGTCGGCCGGTTGCAGTCTCCCTGGCTGACCCCTCTAGGGGTCTAGTCCTCTCTCATTTCTCCACTGTCCTCCCGTGTCCGGCTGCCCCCTCGGGCACCCTGTCTGGTCAGTACCTCCCGTCGGGGTTCACCAGTTTACTCCTGCGAGTCAGCGGGTTACCCACTGCTCGGACGCCCGCACAGGCCGTCACCTGGCCACGTTTTCTCGTCGGCCGGGGTCGAGTCTCTACACCCTGACCACTGAGTCTCCTCCTGTCCCTGCGTCTGGCCAGGTCGCTGCATCGGGTCAGGTGTTTGCTGCTGCGTCCAGGTCTGGTGCTGAGTCTGCCCCCTGCTCGTGTCGCCTCCTGTCTCACGAGACTCTCCTGTGGCACCACCGTCTTGGCCACCCCTCCTTGCCTCGTCTTAGGGACATGGCTTCCCGTGTCCTTGTCTCTGGTCTCCCCCAATCTCTCCCTCCCCTTCCTTTGGGGCCTGGACCTTCCTGTGTCCCTTGTGTCGAGGGGCGGCTCCGGGCTGCCCCCCACTCCTCCCAGTTTCCTCTGACAGAGGCTCCTCTGCAGACGCTTCACATGGACGTGTGGGGCCCGGCCCGCGTCCGTGGACAGGGTCACGAGCGCTACTTCCTGCTGGTGGTTGACGACTACTCGCGTTACACCACAGTCTTCCCCTTGCGTAGCAAAGGTGATGTCACTGAGGTGTTGATCGGCTGGATCCGCGCAGCTCGTCTCCAGCTCAGGAGGAGCTTCGGCTCGGACTTTCCTGTTCTGCGTCTGCACTCTGACCGAGGTGGGGAGTTCTCCTCTGGCCTTCTGGGAGCCTACTGTCGTGCACGAGGCATCCGCCAGACCTTTACGCTTCCGGACTCTCCGCAGCAAAATGGGATTGCTGAGCGCACGATGCTGAGCGGCTCGGCTGTCGGGCGGCTCGGGTGCTGGGCGGCTCGGCTGCCTCGCGGCTCGGTTGCTCGGCGACTCGGGCGGTCGCGACGGGGCCGTAGCAGGGGCCTTAGTGGGGCCGCAGTGGGGACGAAGTGGGGCCGACGGGGCCTTAGCGGGGCCTTCATGTGGCCGTAGTGGGGCCGAAGTGGGGCCAACGGGGCCTTAGTGGGGCCGTAGCGGGGCCGACGGGGCCGTAGCGGGGCTGTAGCGGGGCCGCAACGGGGCCTAAGAGGGGCAGACGGGGCCGAAGTGGGTCCGTAGCGGGGCCAACAGGGCCGAGGGGGCCTTAGCTGGGGCCGTAGCGGGGCCAACAGGGCCGTAGCGGGGCTGTAGCGGGGCCGTAAAGGGGCCAAAGTGGGGGCCCACGGGGCCTAAGTGGGGCCTCAAATGGGGCCGACAAGGCCGTAGCGAGGCCTAAGCGGGGCTGTAGCGGGGTCGACGGGGCTTAAGCGAGGCCGATGGTGGGCTAAGCGGGGCCGACTGGGCCGTAGCGGGGCTGTAGCGGGGCCGCAACGGGGCCGAAGTGGGGGCCGACGGGGCCTAAGCGAGGCCGCTGCGGGGCCGACGGGGCCTAAGCGGGGCCGACGGTGGGCTAAGCGGGGCCGACGGGGCTGTAGCGGGGCTGTAGCGGGGCCGCAACGGGGCCGAAGTGGGGCCGACGGGGCCTAAGCGGGGCCGCAATGGGGCCGACATGGCCTAAGCGGGTCCAATCGGGGCCGTAGCGGGGCTAATCGAGGCTATAGCGGGGCCGACGGGGCCTAAGCAGGGCCGACTGTGGGCTAAGCAGGGCCGACGGGGCCGAAGTGAGGGGCCGACGGGGCCTAAGCGGGGCCGCAACGAGGCTGTAGTGAGGCCTAAGCGGGGCCGACGGGGCCGTAGCGGGGCCAACGGTGGGCGGCTTGAGGGGCAGTAAGGGCGGCCAAAAGGCGTCTCGGGGCGCTACTCGGGTTAGGAGGTAAGCGCGCTCCGGGCAGAGGAGAAAAAAGTACGTGGTGGGCCCTAAGCAGTATTCCCACTCGGGAACCTGCTCGATACCATGACGAGAAGTGAGAATGGATGAATGAACTAAGAAAGAGTTGGGTACAAGTACTAACCCTAATTGGTTTGTACCCCATATGGGCTACCCCACTATACCCTACACATATGTATAAGCTATAATGTTCTGACAGCCTTAGGGGTTGAACCATTCGTGTCGAAGGAGAAAGTGTGCGAGGCAGTGTTCTGGCCAGTTGGGACCGGTTGTGAGGATGTTCCCACGTCACCGCTCCGCAATGTTTGGAGCCCTTGCTCCAAGCTGGTGAGTCGCTGAAGAAGTTGTGCGAGGACTTCGGTTCCGATCGTCGTCGTTTCCTCACTTGTCACAGTCGGGTTGGTTTGTGCTTCAGCCGTCAGATTAGTCTGACCACCAGATCCTCCGGCCATTCTCACACGCGAGCGTGTGCTGAGCGCCACTTTCCGGATGTTGTAATTTTCGAGAGTGGCAGTGCGAAGGATTCCCGAGTCGCTCTCATACCATGCTGCGATCAGTGGATGATCGCTGCCAGGATCTTCTCATGAATGTTCGCACGCAGATAGGTAGACTAGGTGGGCCCTTGACCTTTAGCAGAGTGAACGTAAAATGCTTGAGATGGATTAAAAACATGCAAAGACATCGATATAAGGGTACATTCCGCTGTGGACATTGTCCCAATCGTTATGTCCCAATCGAGTGTACCGCTCCGAACCGAACTAAACCAGAGACACGAAAAAAAATAAAAATAGGGTGCAATTTGGTGTAACACGATGCACTGCGGTAGAAATGATTGAGACGCTTTCGATTGGGACATGTCCAACGTGGAATGCACCCTAAATAGGAGTACAAGGAAATATGAATCGACCTAGCTAGCCATGTACTCTAAGGGGTACATTCCCTTATTCAAATTCATTCCCAACCGTGCAGCGCGTATAGTTACGAAAACTGTTCCCGCCCAATTCCTCTTAGCTGCAACTGCCTGATGCCCTCTACTCCAACGGTCCAGATCTGTTACAATCCCAAGTGGGACTTAGCGAAGGATTGTCAGAATATATTTGCTGTTTAGCCTGCAGTGGGGTACTCTGTAATGAGTACAACCCAATTTAGGGCAATGTACTTGTATCCCAACTCTTGCTAGTCAAACCACTTCTCTTCCAATTTCTCGATACTCTCCCCTAGGAGAAACCCACTCGAACTTACCTATCTCCTAGTGTGGGCCTAGGCTACTAAGCCTAGGCCCCACACCTACTATTTTCACATGTTATCAGAGCCCGTTCTACCTTGGCCTGTGGGCCCCTATGCTTCCGCTGCAGTCCTTCTTCCTGCCGCGCGCGGAGCGCGCGGCGAAATTTTTTTTAAGGATTTCAGAGTTTTTCATCCCGCCGTGCGCTCGGGGCGCGCGGCGGTTTTCCCGTCCTTCGAAGCGCCCTCGGGGGGCCTGCGCGCTGCCCTCCCCGCTGCTCGTCGCGACGCCCGTGCGGGACCTGCGCGGCGTCACCCTGCTCGTCGCGACGTCCGTGCGGGACCCGCGGGGCGTCGCCCCTGCTCGTCGCGACGTCCGTGCGGGACCCGCGCGGCGCCGCCCTACTTGTCGCGACGTCCGTGCGGGACCCGCGGGGCGTCGCCCCTGCTCGTCGCGACGCCCCATGCGGGACCCGCGGGGCGCCGTCAGTTCCTGCAGCAGCAGCCGCCGCCGCCCTGCAGCAGCAGCCGCCGCCGGGCCTGCAGCAACACACGCCGCCGCCCTGCAGCAGCAGCCGCCGCCGGGCCTGCAGCAACAGACGCCGCCGCCCTGCAGCAGCAGCCGCCGCCAGGCCTGCAGCAGCAGCCGCCGCCAGAGCCTGCAGCAGCAGCCACCGCCAGAGCCTGCAGCAGCAGCCACCGCCAGAGTCTGCAGCAGCAGCCGCCGCAAGAGCCTGCAGCAGCTGCCGCCACCGATCCAACAGCAGCAGCCGCCGCCGCTCTGCCGCAGCAGCCACCGCCACCCAGCAGCAGCAGCCGCCGCCCTGCAGCAGCAGCCGCCGCCAGGCCTGCAGCAGCAGCCGCCGCCAGAGCCTGCAGCAGCAGCCACCGCCAGAGATTGCAGCAGCTGCCGCCCCTGGACCCGGTACGCTCTGTGCTGCCCTGCCTGTGCTGCCCTGTACTGCCCTGCCTGTGCTGCCCTGTACTGCCCTGCCTGTGCTGCCCTGCCTGTGCTGCCCTGTGCTGCCCTGCCTGTGCTGCCCTGTGCTGCCCTGCCTGTTGCTGCCCGTGCTTGTGCTGCCCGTGCCTGTGCTGCCCGTGCCTGTGCTGCTTGTGCCTGTTGCTGCCCGTGCCTGTGCTGCCCGTGCCTGTTGCTGCCCGTGCCTGTTGCTGCCCGTGCCTGTGCTGCCCGTGCCTGTGCTGCCCGTGCCTGTGCTGCCCGTGCTTGTGCTGCCCGTGCCTGTGCTGCCCGTGCCTGTGCTGCTCGTGCCTGTGCTGCCCGTGCCTGTGCTGCCCGTGCCTGTGCTGCCCGTGCCTGTGCTGCCTGTGCCTGTTGCTGCCCGTGCCTGTGCTGCCCGTGCCTGTGCTGCCCGTGCCTGTGCTGCCCGTGCTTGTGCTGCTCGTGCCTGTGCTGCCCGTGCCTGTGCTGCTCGTGCCTGTGCTGCCCGTGCCTGTGCTGCCCGTGCCTGTGCTGCCCGTGCCTGTGCTGCCTGTGCCTGTTGCTGCCCGTGCCTGTGCTGCCCGTGCCTGTGCTGCCTGTGCCTGTTGCTGCCCGTGCCTGTGCTGCCCGTGCCTGTGCTGCCCGTGCCTGTGCTGCCCGTGCCTGTGCTGCCCGTGCCTGTTGCTGCCCGTGCCTGTGCTGCCCGTGCCTGTGCTGCCCGTGCCTGTGCTGCCCGTGCCTGTGCTGCCCGTGCCTGTGCTGCCCGTGCCTGTGCTGCCCGTGCCTGTGCTGCCCGTGCCTGTGCTGCCCGTGCTTGTGCTGCTCGTGCCTGTGCTGCCCGTGCCTGTGCTGCTCGTGCCTGTGCTGCCCGTGCCTGTGCTGCCCGTGCCTGTGCTGCCCGTGCCTGTGCTGGCTGTGCCTGTTGCTGCCCGTGCCTGTGCTGCCCGTGCCTGTGCTGCCTGTGCCTGTTGCTGCCCGTGCCTGTGCTGCCCGTGCCTGTGCTGCCCGTGCCTGTGCTGCCCGTGCCTGTGCTGCCCGTGCCTGTTGCTGCCCGTGCCTGTGCTGCCCGTGCCTGTGCTGCACGTGCCTGTGCTGCCCGTGCCTGTGCTGCCCGTGCCTGCGCTGCCCGTGCCTGTGCTTCCCGTGCCTGTGCTGCCTGTGCCTGTTGCTGCCCGTGCCTGTGCTGCCCGTGCCTGTGCTGCCCGTGCCTGTGCTGGCCGTGCCTGTTGCTGCCCGTGCCTGTGCTGCCCGTGCCTGTGCTGCCCGTGCCTGTGCTGCCCGTGCCTGTTGCTGCCCGTGCCTGTGCTGCCCGTGCCTGTGCTGCCCGTGCCTGTTGCTGCCCGTGCCTGTGCTGCCCGTGCCTGTGCTGCCCGTGCCTGTGCTGCCCGTGCCTGTTGCTGCCCGTGCCTGTGCTGCCCGTGCCTGTGCTGCCCGTGCCTGTGCTGCCCGTGCCTGTTGCTGCCCGTGCCTGTGCTGCCCGTGCCTGTGCTGCCCGTGCCTGTGCTGCCCGTGCCTGTGCTGCCTGTGCCTGTTGCTGCCCGTGCCTGTGCTGCCCGTGCCTGTGCTGCTGCCCGTGCCTGTTGCTGCCCGTGCCTGTGCTGCCCGTGCCTGTTGCTGCCCGTGCCTGTGCTGCCCGTGCCTGTGCTGCCCGTGCCTGTGCTGCCCGTGCCCGTGCTGCCCGTGCCTGTTGCTGCCCGTGCCTGTGCTGCCCGTGCCTGTGCTGCCCGTGCCTGTGCTGCCCGTGCCTGTGCTGCCTGTGCCTGTTGCTGCCCGTGCCTGTGCTGCCCGTGCCTGTGCTGCCCGTGCCTGTGCTGCCCGTGCCTGTTGCTGCCCGTGTCTCGTGCTCGCGCCCCCGTGCGCTCTGCTACTGTCTGCGCCCTCGTGCGCACTGTCCCCCCCCCCCCCCCCCCCCCCCCCCCCCCCCCCCCGTTTGCGGGTGTGGGGGTGCTCCGTTTGTGTCGCCCCTTCCTTCTCCTCCTCCGTCGTCTCCCACTGCTGCAGCTGTCGCTGAGGGGGGTGGTTGTGTGGGAGACTGGGGTTTAGGGTTTAAGGGGGGTGCGTGGGAGTGGAGCTAGCGGTGTAGCAGCGGGTGTGTGTCAGGGGGGTGGGACTGTTTGGGGAAGCTGCATGGAAGTTGCCGTACTGTAGTCCGCAGCACCTGTAGTCCGGGGCGCTGTCCCGGTAGCCCAGTGAGCTAGACTTCTACGCCAGCCGCCCGTGGGTCCGTTGCCCGTCTGCCGCTACTTGAGCCGCGGGGCCTGTTACTCCTGTAGTCCGGGCGCTGTCCGGTAGCCGCTGTGCCAGTCTGCCTCCTGTTGCCCGTGTGTCTGCAGCTTCAGCCGTCTCCTCCTATCTCCTCTCCCCTCACTCTCTCTCCTCCTCCTCACTTGCCCGTTGTGACTACCACTAGCTTTGCTCATAATTCTTAACTCTAAACTATTGCTTCTTTAACTTGTGCTCAGAATGTGTGGTGACATTGTGATCCACCCTGAACTTGTACTATTTTGCCTGCTCTGCTGATTACACCCCACTTTGGCTATGGGGGTGTGTCAGAATATATTTGCTGTTTAGCCTGCAGTGGGGTACTCTGTAATGAGTACAACCCAATTTAGGGCAATGTACTTGTATCCCAACTCTTGCTAGTCAAACCACTTCTCTTCCAATTTCTCGATACTCTCCCCTAGGAGAAACCCACTCGAACTTACCTATCTCCTAGTGTGGGCCTAGGCTACTAAGCCTAGGCCCCACACCTACTATTTTCACAAGGATCGCTCAAGGTTGATTGTAAAATAATGAGGAATGAATGAACTAGGAAAGTGTGTAATACAAATATGAAACCCTAGAAACTTGTACCCCTTAGTGTCTACCCCACTAGAGCCTACAAACACTATGTCATATACATCTGACACACCCCCATAGGCAAAGTGGGGGAGAACTAGGGGTCACAAGACTAGTTAATCAAGGCAAGCTCAGGGTGGATCACAACGTCACCACACATTGCGAGCACCAGTTCAAGGCCACAAGGCCAGTTCACATGCAGGATTATATATCAAGGTAAACAAGCAAGTGCAAGTATAGATAGATCACAGTACAAGCAAGGTCAAGAAGTGAGCAAGTGAGGCCAAGTAGGCACAAGACCTAGCATCGTACAAACGAGCTGATCACAAGGCTGAAGTGCCTTGGTAAAGATCTCAGCAGTGTTGGCCCAACAGGCCACGTAAGCAAGGCGCAGCTGACCACGCAACTGCAGCTCACGAGCAAGGAAATAGCAAAGAGCAATGTGCTTCGTTCTGTACTCTAGTCTGTGCTCCCGACACAAGGCCAGCATAGCCTTGTTGTCTACGTACAGAACTAGAAGAGAACAAGGCGGCTCTCCTAGGCCAGTCACCAGGTAGGTGACCCAGCGTAGCTCCTGTCAGAATCAGAAACGGGAATGAATGACTAGAATGAGTGTTGGGTACAAATAGGTCAAACCTAACCCTAGAAATGTGTACCCACTATAGGCTAACCCACTGTAGCCTAAACAAGCATATCATACAATGTTTGACACACCCCCATAGGCAAAGTGGGGGAGAACAAGGGGTCACAAGACCAGTCAAAGCAAAACAAAGCTCAGGGTGGATCTCAAGGATACCACAAAAGTTCCGAGCACAAGCAAGCGGTCACAAGACCAGTTCACATGCAGATTTATAAAAGAACAAGAGATACAGTAATCACAACCTAGCAAAAGTAAGCATGCAGGTATATATATATAGAGATCACTGTACAAGCAAAGTCAAGAAGTGAGCAAATGAGGGACAGTAGGCACGAGGCCTAGAGCAGTACAGAAGCGCTGATGGTCACAAGGCTGAAGCGCCTTGGTGAACACGTCAGCAGTGTTGGCCCGAGCGGCCACGTAACGCAGACAAAGCTGACCTCGCTGCTGCAGCTCTCGAGCAAGAAAGTAGCGCAGAGCAATGTGCTTCGTCCTGTGCTCCAGTCTGTGCTCCTGACACAAGGCAATGGTGGCCTTGTTGTCGACGTACAGCACTGGAGGAGAACGAGGCTGCTCTCCAAGGTCAGTCAGCAGGTAGGTGAGCCAGCGAAGCTCCTGGGCAGCCATGGCTGTGGCGTAGATCTCAGCCTCACAGCTGGAGCTAAAACATAAGAAGAGCGAGTAGAACGCCAAGAGACAGAGCCAGAGCCAAGACTGAAGGTGTAACCCTGGGACGACCGCTGAGTAGCCTTGTCGTCTGCCCAGGAAGCGTCTGAGTGCCCAGTGAGAACAGGCCGGTCTCGCCCTCCAAGCACTAGCCCCATGCCCGACGTACTGCACAAGTAGCGCAACACCCTCTTAGCTGCATCCATGTGCTCCTTCCGGTGACGGCCGGGAGCGACATAGCGTGCTAAGATGTTGAGAGGGTATGCAAGGTCAGGTCGAGTGCAGGTCATCAGGTACATGAGGCAGCCCACAAGCTCTGGATACGGACCACTCGACTCTACGGACTCATCCGAAGGCAGAGCTGAGAGCGAGTGTCCCGTAGGCAGAGGAGTGGACTGAGGCGAGGAGTACGTGAAGCCGAAGCGCTGAAGGACCTGCTGCACCATGTGTGACTGAGTCAGGGTAATGGTGCGGCGTGCTCTGTCCCGGGTGATCCGCAAGCCAAGATAGCTTGTCAGTTCACCTAGGTCTGTGCACGTGTGTCTCTTCTGCAGCTCGGACTTCACGTGGGCGAGTGCGGCAGTGTCCGCAGTGGCAAAGACCAAGTCGTCGACGTAGACGAGGATGTAGAACGGCGGCAGCGAGGTGTCGGTGCGCAGAAACAGCGACGGGTCAGCAGTAGAAGGAGCAAACCCAAGAGCCGCAAGTGTAGTCCTCAGTGTGTCGTGCCACTCACGCGGCGCCTGGCGGAGACCGTAGACTGGCCGCCGGAGGCTCCACTGGGTACCAGGAGGGAACGACCCAGTGAAGCCAGGTGGGCGGCGCAGCCAGATCTCCTCGTGCAGGCTGCCCTGCAAGAAAGCTGTGCTGAAGTCTAGAGAGTGGAGCTCGTAGTGACGCTGAGCGGCGACGTGTAGCAGAACCCGAAGAGTGGTCATCTTTGGGGTCGGGGAGAAGGTCTGGAAGAAGTCAACTCCCTCTCGCTCACTGAAGCCTCGTGCAACGTAATGCGCCTTGAAGACAGGCGGAGAGCCCGGCGGCCGCTTCACCCTGAAAATCCACATGCCACTGACGATGTTCGCCCCAGGCAAGGGAACCTCGTCGACGTAGGTGCCAGTGGACTTCCAGGAAGCCATCTCTGTGTCCATGGCTGACTGCCACTGAGAGGAGTAGGGACCAGCCATCGCCTCTGCGTAAGAGCGTGGGGTCGGGATGTCTGGTGCATCCGGGTCTCCCTCAAGGGCAACGAGCATGGACACGAGATGGGGCAAAGCAGCGGCAAGGCAACCAGCCTCCTCCTGCCTGTCCTCAAGAACGTCCGTGCCAAGAGCACACTCACCCCCGACGGACGGAGGACAGACAGACTCAGACTCAGCAACAAGACTCGCAGCGTAGTCTAGACGACATGCAGCTGCAAAGTCGATAAGCTCAGTGACTAAGGCAGACGCAGCAGCGGACTCAAAGGAAGGGTCAGTGACAACCGTAGCGAGGAGACGTGTGACAGTAGGACTGGCAGCGCGAAGGGTGTCTGACTCCGGGTCAGCAAGCGCAGGAAGAGAGGACGCAGGAGGCGACGGGAGAGCGACACGCTGCGGAGCAGTGGACTGACGAAGCGCCATCTGGTGAGTGCCTGGGACAGCAGGAGGACGCTGACGTTGGACACGACTAGCAGTGGTAGCAACACGAACAGGCGACGCTCGACGAGACGCAGGGGACACAGGACGTGAAGCAGGCTCACGTCTCTCACCTAGACCTCCAGTCGGACCAGCGTACGGAGTAGGCACAGGGAGTGGGGAGGCAGTCGGTAACTGTGGCTGTGACTGGACAGACGGAGGACACTCTAAGGCGAGAGGAGGACACTGACTAAGAACCTGCTGAAGGAGCGGAACGAAGTACGGCCGTGGCCGTGCAGCAACTCTCGAACCAGCAGAAGCTCTAGCGGTTGGGTCCTCAGCACTTGCAGAAGCTCCACCCTCCGGGTCCTCCACTCCAGCAGCAGCAGCAGCACCTCCAGCAGCAGCACCACCAGCAGCAGCAGCACCTCCAGCACCAGGGTCCTCAGTACGAGCAGCACCTCCAGCAGCACCGCCAGCAGCAGCAACACCTCCAGCACCAGGGTCCGCAGCACCCGCAGAAGCGTCAACTCCGGGGACCCCAGCACCAGCAGCTCCACTCCGGAGACTGATGTGCCGAGCGTACCACTCTCGAAGCTGTGAGGAAGAGGGCGGCTCCCGCCGTGGTGGGGAAACACGAGTACCAACTCCAGTAGCACCACGAGCCCGAGACGCACCCCGCCGGAGGCTGCAGTATCGTGAGTACCACTCACGGAGCTGCTGCGAAGAGGGAGGTCCTCCAGGCGCCTCACAGTCAACTGCAACACAACCAGGCTCAGTACCCCCAGACTCAGCAACGCCAGGCTCAGTACCCTCAGACCCAGCACCCCCAGGCTCAGCACCCCCAGTCTCAGTACCTCCAGACTCAGCACCCCCAGGCTCAGCACCCCCAGTCTCAACACCCCCAGGCTCAGCACCCCCAGGCTCCGCCCGCTCAGGCTCCGCACGCTCAGGCTCCGCACGCTCAGGCTCAGCACCTCTAGCAGGACGCGAGTCGACAGCTACCTCGGCAGGCTCAACCGGGTCTACCTGAGAGACACCTGAGGGAGCAGCACCCTGAGGGGGGAGGGGGTCTACCACTGCAGCACCTGGCGCGAGGAAGAGAGGCGGGGGAGGGAGCGGGGCAGTGCGGTAGGGGAAGAGGCGGTAGAAGGGCACGGACTCGTCAAAAGTGACGTCCTGAGAGGGGAAGACGCGGTGCGAGGCGGGGTGGTAAAACTGCCAGCTAGACGCATCCGGGGCAAAGCCAAGAAAGACACAGGGAGCAGTGCGGGAGGAGAGCTTCTCCGCAGACGTGTCGCGAACAAAAGCTCGGGATCCCCAGACACG